AGTTCACAGCACCCTCAAACTCCTGGACTTAAGCATTTCTCTTGCCTCAGCCTCCAAAGTAGCTGGGACTACAGGCGCCCGCCACAACGCCCGGCCATCTTTTTTGTTGCAGTTGTCAGTGTTGTTTTAGCTGGCCCAGGCCGGGTTCAAACCCCCTAGCCTTGGTGCATGTGGCCAGTGCCCTACCCACTGAGCTACAGGCGCCACCCGGCACTAACTATATTTAAAAGCAAAGGGTGGCATTACCTTTACATCAGATGACAGTAAAACAAAAATAAAGAAAATAATTCCAAAATGTTCTTTCTCCATTCTTCTAAAAGTAATAAAATGATAGCTGCTTTAGTTTTGAGATATTTCACTTATAAAATACTATTTGGAAAAACAAAGCAGGATTTGATGTATTCAAATAAAAAAAGTAAAATAAACTGTATTAAATTCTAAAATGGGGCTCACATACCATTGCAAAAACATTCTTAATTTTCTTACTTCAAAACAGTCCTGACTCAGTATTTTCCTTAAGTCACTGTCATTTTGTAACATTGAGCCCTGACCAACCCTAAAGTGTGGTGGGCCCCTGTAATCCCAGCTGCTCAGGAGGCTGAAGCAAGAAGATTGCTTGAGCCCAAGAGACTGAGGTTGCTGTGAGTTATAACTGATATTATTGCACTCTACTCATGGTGAGTGTGACTATCTTAAAAAAATAAATGAAAATAAATAAATAAAATGTGAGCTCTACACAATTACATCTGAGATTATCTCACTCCATTACAGCTCAGTGGAATACAAGATTGGGGAAGTGTATTATTTTTGACAATGTTTCTTAAAAAAATCTCAATTTCTATTTGCAAAACTAAATAAAAAGATTTAAAATGCCTGCCTGGGTACAGTGGCTCATGCCTGTAATCCTAGCACTCTGGGAGGCTGAGGCAGGTGGATTGCTTGAGCTCACATGAATTTGAGACCAGCCTGAACAAGAACAAGACCCACCTCTACTAAAAATAGAAAAATTAGCTGGACATAGTGGTGTCAGCTATGTGGTCAGCATAGTGGTGTCAGCTACTGGGGAGGCTGAGGCAAGAGGATCAGTTGAGCCTAGGAGTTTGAGGTTGCAGAGAGCTCTGATCACATTACTGCACTATAGCCTGGGTGACAGAGCAAGACACTATCGCAAAAAAAAAAGGACTTAAAAATTCTAGAAAAGATATTTAATATAATTTATTATTTTCTCTTTCCCCACACACCTTTCCCTCTCTCCATTTCCTCTCCCTATACCCATCTCTCTCCCTTCTTCCTTATTTCTTTCTCCCATCTCCCTATCTTTCTACTCTCTCCTTCCTTTTTTTTTTTTTTT